TGACTTGTCCCACCTTATAATTTGGACGAGTGGCGACTCCCTTTTTTTTTATATTTTCACACTTTTAATCCTTTTTTTTAAAGTGGTCGTCAACAAATATATACAAATTGCATGGCATGCCCAAAGTGATCATAACTAACAGAGATTGAGTGTTCACCAGTTTATTTTGGAAGGAGCTCTTCAAATTGAGCAAGGTTTCTTTACATCTGACTTCTGCCTATCATCCTCAATTTGATGGCCAAACAGAGGTGGTGAATAGATGCTTGGAAACATATCTGAGATGTATGTGTGGTGAAAACCCTAAGGAATGGAGTACCTGGTTACCTTTAGCTGAGTGGTGGTATAACACCAATTTTCATTCAGCTATGCAGTCCTCTCCTTATGAAGTTCTTTATGGTCAGAAGCCTCCTTTGCATGTGCCCTATATTTCTGGTGCTTCTTAACTTGAAGTAGTTGACAGGTCCTTACAAGCACAAGAGCAAGCATTGAAAATTATTAGACACCACCTCTTGCGAGCCCAGAATCGAATGAAACAATTAGCTGATAAGCACATAGTGGACAGAGAATTCTCAGTGGGTGATTGGGTTTATCTGAAACTCACTCCTTTCAAACAGTCTTCCCTGTTGACCAGCCATAGTCACAAACTTTCCCCAAGGTTTTGTGGCCAATTCCAGGTGCTTAAGAGAATTGGAGCAGTGGCTTACAAGTTGAAATTGCCTGCTACGGCTAGAGTTCATGATGTCTTTCATGTTTCTCTGCTAAAGAAGAAAATTGGGGACAACGCGAGTGTTTCTTCCTTTCCGGAATCATTACTTGGTACTACTCAAGTGTTCTACCTGGAAGCAATTTTGGATAGAAAAATCCAGAATAAGTAGGGGAAAGCAATCACTATGTGGCTGATTAAGTGGAAGAATCATTCAAATGAAGAAGCCACCTGGGAAGTTTGCACTGATTCCGTGGCCAAATTTCCTGACTTTATTCCCAATCCTTGAGGTCAAGGATTCTAAGGGAGGGTGCAGTTGATACAGGTTCAAATGATAGGCCAGTACTGTTGAACTAGAGCTGAAGTGGATTTGCAGTTGGAAGGTTATGCTGACTGTGCAAGTGGTTAGCGAGAAACTTGCGGATTAGTTAGAACAGCTTATAGTTAGTTAGAACTATCTCTTGTAATTAACCCTAAATATATAAGGGGACCGCGCTTTGTAATTCTTTTGTTGATTGATGAATAAAGAATTAGACCCTTTTCTCTCCTCTCTGGTTCTCCTTCCTTCTCTGGTTCTTCTTCCTCCCTATCTCTACTTTCTCCTTCTTTCTTGATTCTTGATTTTCTAGGTTCTGGTGCTATCAATCCCCACATTCCGCGCCCAGCGCCCCGCGCCCTACACCCTGGCTCTTACGCCCAGCCTTCCTCTGTGTGCCCTAGATCCCGTGCCTGCTGCCTGTGCCCAGATCTGCAATCATACCCCTATTTCTGGCAATGATGCCCCTGCACTCTCCCCTCTGCACCAAGCCAGCCCCCCCTCTGTTGCACCAGATCTCCTACGCCCTGCACACTGCGCCTCGCCCCCAATCCTGCACTCTGCACTCATGCTTGCCACAGCCCCATCCCTGCCTCACCTACAAAAAAAGCAACAATACAAGACAAAATTGGTATCATTGGTGATTGACAGAGCAATGCCTTTTTTTTTATTTATTTTTATTAGTTGGGTGTATATATAGAGCAAAAAGCAGAGTAGGGAGGGGCGTCGGTAGTTGATTTTGGAGTTTAATTTGGGAGTCCGTCTGGGTTTTGAGAGGAGGTTTTGAGAAAAGTAGAGGAAGACTTCGAAGAGGAGGAAGGGGGGCTTTTGGTTTTTCTCTTTTCTGGGTTACCTTTCATTCTGGTAAAAAAAAAAAAAAGAAAAAGAAAAAAGAGAGAAACAGAAGAGAGAAGTCCAAAAGAGAGGGGTTTCGAAGAAGGAGGATTTCCTGTTTTGAGGAAAGCAACTGTTGGGAGAGGATCATCGAGCTTCCAGAGGAGCTTCCTGTTTTTTTTTTTTTTTTGGGTTTTAAAAGGGTTGCATGCTCTAAGTCTCACTTGCGTTAGGTAATCTTCGAAACAGAGGATTTTTGTTAAGAAAATGGTGAAGGAGATGGTGCCGTGGGTGGGATTCCTTCCATCAAATCCATATCTGTTTTTCTTTCAAAAATTCGTCGTGCTTGTTTTTATCTTTCTGTGGTGTTTGTTTCTTTAGATCTGATGTTAAGATTGTGTATGTTTTGCTAGAAAATGAATGAAAATCAGGGATTGTTCTGTTTTTATTGCTTGATGAATGTGCTTTTACTTGAAAATGATGAACCCTAATCTCCTGCATGTCTGCATGTTTTGATCTTTTGGGGTCTTATTTCGTATTTGGATCATGTTTTTGGGTTGGGTCAACCTGCTCCAACACAATGACAAAAAAAAAAAAAAAACGAAAAAAAATAAAAGATAAAAAAATATATATACAAATAAAATAATAAATTGATGAGGTTAATTAATTTAATTTATGATTGATGAAATTGATTAATTTTAATTAAAATAATTTAATTATATTTATTAGCTTTAATTTGAGATAATTGAATTCATTTAATTATTTTAGTTATAGATTAATAAATATGATTAATTAATTTTGATTAATCTTAATTAATATTAAATTAATTATTTAATTAGATTAATTATCTTAATTAATTAATTTTAAATCTTCTATTTGCCTTAATCTTGTTAAAAAAAAAATCAAAAGT